TGAATCCTCTAAAGCATTCTGAAGCAAGGACTAATGGTTCGGACGCTTGAGTTCGCGGAGATTTAAAGATTACTTCGCAGCACGAACCATAAAGCCACGATTGGCTAAAAAAGCTTAACCTGGTTAGCTAATCGGGCAACCGGTTAACAGAACTGCAGCTTGAACTTACGGGGCGGGGAAAATCATGCCGGATGCAGTACCGTGGCGGGTTAAACTGACCAGTACCTGTGCTCATTAGCCTCTCGGTTAGCTTTCGCCGGTTGCCAGGGTTGAACACCCGGAGAGAAGCGATGAGAAACTATGAGCGACGATATTTAACATCAACTAGCCCATGGTTTCCGACAACTCAAACGTTGCAACAGGTGTTGACGGTTTAGGCGATGCAACTTTGATGCGAAACTGCGGGCTAAACTACTTGTTTATTCGCTAACATACTGGCGCTCGAGCGATGAGGTGTGGAAATTAGAAGTACAATGACATCATTTCAAGCGAGTTTCAGTTGGGATATATCACATATTTGGAATGAAAATTGTCCAAAAAACGCGAGCGCAAGAAGGGGTACTATGCCAAGAAATGAGGGAAAACCAAAAGCCCGGAGGGGGAATAGGAACGGGACATCTATCAAATGCTCCAGGATATCGCCCCAAGATATAGCCCAAAACTTACACGGTAGAAATGATCCAGAAATAACCACAATATCAGTGAAAATAAATAGAATAATATGGACATTAAAACGGTTAGATCATCATCTAAATTCATCCATGAATTCCTTGTGGAACTTGACGATGCGATCCGTCCATGCAGTGCCTGGTGCTAAGAACGTGGTGCGGAAGTGGAGAGTGCCATCTTTCTGACCGAAGCCGGATCCAGGGACGACGCAGACCCCTGTGGCATCCAGGAGGCGGAGGGAGTAAAATTCGTCTGGTTCGCGGTTGGCTGCTTTGGCAGCTTCGATCGCTTTGGGTGGTAGATGTATGGTTGGGAAGAGATACATGGCGCCCTAGATACATAGGAGGATTTGGTTAGTAGAGTACGGAGTCCTATTGGTAGCAGTAAGTTATGAACGTAGAAGACGTTAATGCATACCTTGGGTTCTTGACATTCAACGCCCTCCATCTGCTGGAATGCCTTGTAAAGGGTTTGGGCACGCTGATACAGGCCGTCTCGAATGCTATTATACTCTTTCTGGTACAGCTCGAAACTGGGATCTCCTTCTACGGGAGGGTTAACCATCATCTCAACGAGACATTGTCCAACGACTGGAGCGCAGAGCATGATACTGATAAATTTGTAGATGTTCTCCAAGACATCCTCGTGGAAGCCGACGAGTTCGATATAACCGCCTCTGTGACCACATTCACCAACCATGCCTTTCGAAATGCTATGCAGCGACGCTAGTTCGACATGATCATATTGACTCGGGAAGTCTCGTTGGAGTTGTCGTAGGCGCTTTTTGAATGAAGTAAAATCTCCCTCGAAGACGTTGGCTTGGTAGACTTCATCGGCCAAGATCACGAGGTTGGATTCGACTGCGACATCGATAACACCCTTGACCGAGTCCGAGGTTAAACTAGCACCGGTTGGATTTCCAGGGTTAATGACCACGATGGCACGGACATCGATTCCATCCTCCTTGGCCTGTGAAATGGTTGATCTGATCCCATCTACATCGGTACCCCAAGAGTCGCTTTCGTTAAGATAATATGGCACGCATTTGGCATTTAACAGGGACAAGGTGGCAGTATAGAGCGGATATTGCGGAATGGGTACGAGCACACCAGTTTTTGGGCCAGCGCAGAGCACATGGAGCAAGGTGTTGACTCCGGACGATGCTCCGGCAGTGAGATAAATACGGGCCGGATCCGCCGGGAAGCCATCGCGGCGCTCGATGAATTTGGCAACACTCTCCCGTATGACCGGAACCCCATGACTCTGGCTGTACGCGCCCACGCTTTGGACACCTTTCAGCAGCCTCTTTGCTCTGTCAATGACATCCTGTTTGTAGCCAAAGGAGGTCTTCAGCGCTTCCTCATTTTCTAGCAGGGCCGGGTGCTCGAGAATGCTAAGGACCTGGCGGAAAAATGTGATGGGTTTTTGGTCTAATTGTTGCGGATTTCCGATATTGGCGAAGATGACCTTGTCAAAGGGGAGCACGTCTTGGATATTTTCCTTTTCAGCATTGGCCAGTCTCTCACGATATTCCTCCGCCTTGACGGCTAGTTCACCACGGACCGCATACTTGGCAGCCAAGACATTGGGATTGATGTTGCCGCCATGAAGACGGCCTTTTGGTTCCGATTTTGAGACGGAGCCCATATTTCGAAGTTGGAGGTGGAATATTGGTGAAACAGACGGTGGCGATGAAGAGGAAATGCGGGGAAAGCCTGAGATTTAAAAAGTGAGAGTGAGTCTAGCGCAGGCGGTCAAGTTCCTGTCGGATGGAGACGGAGGCTAGGATATGGGGCAAGGCTAGGGCCGGATGAACCCACTGCTCGCCATTAGGTCATTTTCTCTCAGATATTCTTTTTTCCGCTTCTCACATTTTCTTTTCCCTCCTCCTTACTTGGCGTGCGGGAGAGGGGCAACCGGCAGTGGTGATAGCTCGCAATGGGCTACACAGGATGCTAATTGGTCGTGGAGGGAAAAAAATATGTGCGTACCTTGGAGACCTAGCAACCGGGGTCTTGTACAATGAGCATCGACTGGAATTGACAAGGGGTGGGGGCGACAATAGCGCCGTGAGAGCGAGCAGAAATTCGATATGTGTCGATTCGCCATGATTGCAAGATCATGTAGTTTAGATAACTATATTTTACAAAAGTACGTCGAAGCAACATTGGGCCCGTACTGTGCGAATTTATTGAGGAGCTAGTCCTGATTAGGAAGGCCGCTAGCTATAATAGTAATGTCTGTAAACTTCAACCTTATTTCTACCAAGCCTTACAGATGATTAGAGATCTTAGCTCAATGGTTCTTTATATTTAACTTTTGAAAAAAAAGAAATAAAGAGAAAAAAGAAAAAGAAAAAGAAAAATAAATTATCTATTTCTTTATCATGTAATAATAATTTTATTTATTTATAATATAAATTTTTAAATTTGAAACTTTATTAAAGTTTATAAAAATAATAATAATAATAAAAAGTTATTATAAATATTATTATAAATATTATAAAAATTAAAAAATAAATTTAAGATTAATAAAATTAATTATTATTTTATAAATATTAAATTTTTTTATAAAATAAATAAAATTAAAATATTTAATAAATTATTAACTATAAAATTTGTATAAAATTTTATATATTTAAATATGAAATATTTTATTATTATAAAAGTATAAATATATTTTTTAATATAAAATAAATTTAAAAAAGAATAAAATTTAAAATATTAAATATTATTGATTAAATTTTTAATTAATATAATATAATAATATTAATAATAATATTTAATTATAACTTTAATTTAAATTTTAAATATATACTTATTATAAATAAAAAAATTAAATATAATTATATATTTAAAAAATTATTAATATTACTAAAATTAATATTTATATTTAATTAAATATTTTGAATAAATATTAAATATTAATATAGTTAAAATAATTTAAATAAAATACTAATTATTATTTTATAATATTATTTTATATAACTAATTTATAATTAAATTAATAATATAAATAAAGAATAAAATTTTTAAATAAAGTTTAAATTTTATATATAAAATATATAACTTTATTTTAATTTTATATATAATTATAATATTTATAATAATTATAGATTTTTATAATTTTTTTTAAAACTTTTATATAAAAAATTAAATAAATTATTAATTAATTAATATCAATATCAAATTTTAAAAATTTAAATTAATAAAATTTTTAAAATAAATAAAGTAAAAATTTTTAAATATAAATATAAATAAATATTTATATTAATTAATCAATTATTTATTAAACTATATAAATAATTAAAAAAATTAAAATTTAATAAAAGTAAATTTATAACTATAATTAAAAATTATAAAAATTAAATTACTTAATTATATTAAATTAAATATAATTATTAAAAATTAAAAACTATAAAATATTATAAAAATTATATAATATTATTATAAATTATAAATTTTTAGTTTTAAAAAATTTAAAATAATATTATAAAAAATAAAATCTTTTTTATTATATAATAATTTAAATAAAATAATAATCTTATTAATATAATAATAATGAAAAAATTAAAAATTATATAAATTTTATAATTTTATTAATATATAAGATTTATATTTAAGTTACTTATAATTTAAAATAAAAAGTAAGTTATATATAAGTTTTTATAACAAAGAAAGAAAGAAATAGTTAGTTATTAATAACTTATATTACTTACAAATAAAAGTAGTTCTAATTATATAAAGCTATAAATTATGATTAGAATTTGGAAGTACTTTTCATAACCTCACCCTGGGAGACGCGCGACCTGGCCCCAATCACACGGGTGACTCCGCCGTACATAGTTCCAGGCGCTTCTCATTTCCAAAGTAAAGGGCTCATCCTGATCGCGATGGGTGTACCATTCTTTAAGTACCGCCATGTTCCCCTCCCGAATAGTGATCCAAAAGGGATCACGTCGTCGTTCTTTTTCCTTCTCAGTGTTCTAATTTACGTTTTTTACGCAATGTTAGGATGATTGGATACAGCCAAACTGCTTCAATCCTCTGCTAAATTCAGCAGCAAAATGATGACTGTGGTACGCTCCAAGGGGAAGGGTGATGGTCGCCAGAGCGGCTTCACTACGGGCTTCCCTGCACGTCACTTTGGAAAGGCATGCAAAAGGCGGGGCCTACCCGAAAAGAATATGCAGACAACATTTTAAAAGTGGGCGTGAGAACGGTCTGGAACAAACTCTCGTGGTCGGATTATGTTACCATAGTGTTAATGTAACAATATTTTTTCCTTTCTGTCCTGCTGACTGAAGCCAGGTCTGCCCCAGCGAGTTTGACATGAACACGAGACAATTAGCTCAAGAACATGGAGGTCCCGGAAGTGAAGGCATTCTACCGACTGAAAATATTATATATTTCTCCCTGGAGGCCATCAGCGTGATCTCCAACGCTACAGCGCCTGGGAGAGAAGTTCGTGTTCAAGAAAATATCGCATACGACGCATTCAAACATACCAATCATTATTTCTTTTGAATACTCTAGCTATGCCGTATCACTACGGAAAGAGCTCTTAATCGAGAGACGGATGAGGGTCCGGGAAAAGATGGCTTTTGTTAAGCCGAAAAAGGGGCTTTTAATTTACTGCCTAATCAACCCCCGATGTGTTTACCGCAGGCGAACGTTGGGCAAGATGACTGGCCACTAAACCTCTATTTCTTGTATTCATCATCCAATACTTCTGTCGCATTTCCCCACCCCTCCAGGATTATCACCTATCTCTTGTTGCCACGAAATTCCTGGTGTTCATTTAAATAAGTTCGATTATTGCTCTATTCAAGGCCATCAACGCCTTCCCCATCATCATTTGCATGAAGTGTTTTGTCTTTTTGGAAAGGATCAGTCCTCGAGGGGAGAACTCCATGCTTAGTTAGTCATTTGCAAGAGAATGTTTGGTGATAAATATTAACTACCAGCCAGGCTTTTCTCTCCTTGCAATTAAGGATCTTTTATACCATCAAAAATGGCGGAACTTTCACAGGGAGATGGCTACATTATCAAGGAACCACCCTCTTAACTGATGCAGTCAATTATTTATGAGGCGTGCTTCAGGAAGCTGAAAAAGCTAGGAGTGGCGTCTAATTTCCTATGTTGGCGCTGTTGATAGCCTTGACCAACTCTATCAAAATGCGATTTCAAAACTTGTCTACACTTTACAGGGAGAAGATGCAGCACACAGCCTTCGCTCGCGGATAAGTGATGGAAATATGACGTCTGATCTAGCACATTTATTCGAGCGTGTCCAAAGGGCAGAAGGAAACTTCAAGTACGACCACTACCGCTGCTGGTATCCCTGGTCATCCAAAGGTCAACAGACGTGGAAATCCAGGATGTCGAAAAATGGAATGTTGACGTCTAGAAAGCTGTTTTTAATCTCATTGACACTTGTCTTACGAACGAACCCACTGGTGGGCGTCCCCCCCTTCTTTGACAGCACGCTAGTCAAATCCACCTCTTCATCACAGAAACGGCGTGAGTTGGTGAATCTGAAAATCTTCGAGAGGAGATACATGAGTGCACATTCAAGACGTCAAGGGCTTCTTTGACAAGTTCTTTTGAGGGAAAGGACTGGAGCAGCAGAGCAGGCACCATCTGTTGACGGGTGCTGGCCCCAGACAGTGATGGCAATTGGGCCCAGTTTCCTGATCCTTCGATGATGTTCTTGCCTGATGGTTTCATCTTCAAGAAGACCTTCTCTCAGAACCACGCAGCACCTACTACACCACAGAGAGCAAAGCAGATCTTACCAGTTCGAAGGCGGAATGACACAAGTCAGCCTTCTTTTGAGAGCTAGGGCTGGGAGCCCCTCACAGGACAAACATGACTAGAGGCATGTTCTGGTGGTTGAAGAGCTCGAAAAGTCTTGAGGAGATCAGGATCAAAGACACCCTGCTGCAAATGGGCCACTACGTGTGTGAGGTCTTTTATCACCCAGCCCACCCAGCGGTTCATTCACGCATTCGCTGTCTGCGGGACCAAGATGAAGAAGACGTGAATGTCTAACTACTCAAGTCCATACAACTCAGAATGTCATCGATACCTATAAAGACTCAAGACAGTTCTTTCAGGTGCATGTGGGTTACACCATGATGAGTGTTGAGGGGCTGGGACTGGGCATTTTAATTGCTAGGGATGAAGGTGGCAGAAAATCAATAACTGTCAGAGGACCTGGGACCTCAGAGGAAGTGATGCTGCAGCTGGGTGAAATGCTTTCTTTCAATGTGCCATCGTGTTTTATGGGACCACGTGTTGTCTCGCAAACAAGGACAGGTGAAGGTGTAGCCAAGCTCTCATGGGTATCAGACAAGCAGCACCCGGAGGTGGAACTCCTCAAGCTAGCAGGTCAGAAAAATGCCCAAGGGGTCCCAAGAATTATTGGCCACAGCACCATCACCAGCATCGCTGACATGGGCTGCGACATGGCTTTCGACGATAAGCACCATGACTTCAAAAGCACACGCCCCAGTACAGCCTCGTTTCATCAATCTCAACCCCTCACGGAACCCCGTCATTTAGATATCCATTAAAAGTCATCTTCCAGGAAACACAGGTCCCCAGATAAGGGGTCGCAGGTATCCAAACAATCGCATTCCATCAATCAACCATCAAGGGACACCCAGGAAGAGAATGAACCAACTTTCTCCATTCAGTCAGCGCACAAGCTGAGCCTCTTCACCAGGAATGGTGAAGAACTCCATGACAATTGTGTCCTCTGGTGTCTGATAATCTCACCCGCTGGCCGGGCAATCTATAACTACAGGTCATCCTTGGAGCTTCTCACAGCGCTTCATGATGCAATAAAGGTGCATCGATCTCTTTACCTGGATGGGAACATCCTTCATCAGGATATTTCAGAAAACGATATAACAATAACCGATCCTCAAATGGCGGAAGGTCACTGAGGCGTGCTAATTGATCCAGATCTTGCCAAGGAAGTCAGCAGTGAGCGCAGCAGCGCACAGCACCAGACCGGCACCATGGAGTTCATAGCTATTGAGGTGCTGCTTCATATCCACATGATGAGTCGTTCTTCTACGTCCTTACCTGGCAGTGTGCCGGTCAACGGTTGGGAAAAGTTACAGCAATTGCGCAGAAGTTATATCAGCTACATGGCTGGTCAGGACATAGTATAGTAAACAAATGATGCGCCGGAAGTCATGAGAAAGTCACAAATACCAAACAAGGCATAGGAACTGGTGGATTTGAAACGCATCCTAACAACGAATTTTCTCCACCGAACAACAGTTTGCTGAGAAAGTGGTTCACTGATTCCTGCAGGGATACTGCAAGATTTAAGCGAAGCGACATGGGTGCGGATGGATTTGAGGGTATTTTTCACCTGAGTTCCCCCAAATATCTGAGTTTTGCCAAAACTCTTTGCAGAGCTATACGAGACATTCTTTTGCCGTATGGGGACAGAGGAATTATCGTTGGCACCCCGCAAGACCAAAAACGCTTATTCAATCCTATTATCCAGGCGTACGACGACGCGATATCTCTGATTGGGATGTCAAATGATTTGATAACAGAGGGAGTCGGTGCCATTTTTATTTTTGTTGTTGAAGTTTGCACGTTTGCGATGGAATACATCATTTTGCAACTGGCATGACTTAAGAATAATTGATGTACGAGTATAATTCCATAGGCTCACCTGACATCCCTAACAACGAAATCGGTGGTTCTACTTACAAATCAACGGGCTTGCCATCTGTTAGAGATCACCACTGTGGGATTATTCTCGTCCTTAATCCAGTAACTAACTATATAGACTTCAAGGCGATTGGGCCTTTTTGCCAGGTAGGGGTCAGGTGATATGGCAGCATAGCCTTTGGGAAGGGCCCCCCAAGTTTGGGCGGTGAGATGCGTGGTCCAATCAGAGAAGAGATAATTAGCGCGGTACCTGTCAATCAGGAACACCACGCAAATCTGAAGTTATCGTAGTACCCCATGTTCTAGGCACTAGGTCCTCTGAAAGATCCCAGGGCCGTCTGAGCTTTGCCCGGAGAAGAAAACCGTCTGACATGTATGGGGCGCCATAGCAGCAGATACATGTTGTTATGATGCCTATCAAATCCCCCAACCGAGATACTCCGGATTGCATGTCTATAATATTTTCAGCCAATCACGGTTACGTTGTTACAGGAATGGTCTGACCGTAATGGCTCAATGCCAAAAGCCCATTCGGTCCATTCTAGTTTCAATCCAGGAAACTAGTGATCAGAAAGAGATAAACTGGTGAGAAATAAAATAACAAAAAAATAAAGAAAAGAAAAAAATTTCTGTGGTCCAAAGCATGGCTCAGCAGGGCCAGACAAAATGTCAAGATACAATATGTTTATGGGATAATTTAACTAAACATCGATCGACCCATCACTTCACCTCGCATTAGCAGCTCAATATAGAAGCTGTATCAACCCCTTTCACTGCCCCGCAATCTCACTGCCTGACCATACTTCTGCAGCTTCGTAATAAGAGCGTCACCCTGCTTAACGACATCAGCATACTGCTTGTTCTTGTCGTCAGGCCGGTTGGTCTCAATAATGCCATTGACGCGGTCGATCGTGCATGCTATCCGGTCGCCGGCGATGAATTTGGCAAGATCCCTAGCACCGGATTCAAGTCAATTCTGCAAATCGAAATCTATAAATTCAAGGATATAGTAATAATCTCTTCAGCGCGAACGGGCAGACATACTTGTCAAGGTAATCAATAGTTACGCCAAAGTCATTCGCCATGCTGCTTAGGCCAACCACGCGGTAGCTCTGCAGCAGTTGCTGGTATCCACGCAATCGCATCTCCCGCACAAACCATGCCCGGTGTTCGTAAAGGTAGCGGTCTTGGCTAAGGAAATTGTCCTCCACGTCCGCCAATGCAAGGAAAAAGGAGCGATAAATGCCGTTGTACAGACTGCTGACGAGATTGGAGAGCGGGGAGAAGTCCATGGGTGTCTCCTCCTCAACATTCAATCCGCTTTCAGCGCCAAGAGTCGTCAGGTTTACAGCTGTCAACGGCCCGCCTGCAGTCGCGCTGGTGATATCTTTCATCTCTTCATCTCCAGCACCGGGCCCCGACGAAATAGCGCCACTCAGCGCAGACAGCCTATCTTCACCTTCTCCGAGAATAGCTTTAATTTCAGGAGCGTCGACGACTTTTGCTTTAAAATCAAGGCGTTTCAGGGCAAGCGAACCCGCAAGGACAGAGTACACAACGAGGGACGAGTAAGTGCATAGTTCGTAGCTGGTGAAGGTGGACAGGCTGTCAAGCAGGAGCGGGGCGGCCAGGTTATATGAGCGGACAGTGAGCAAGTGGAGGCCCTTGTAAGCCTTTAGACGATTCCTTCGATCCCAGTCGCCGCCGCTCTCGACTAGCGCGTTAGCTCTCTCGATATGCTTCTTGACGAATGGTTTATCCCCGTAGAATAATCCAATACGTATAATTGCCAGAACCAGATCGATCTTTGTGCCTAGGATGCCGGTTTTCTCAAAGACTGCTTCGTAAGCCGCGACTGCCTTGTCCTAATTGTTGCGCACGTCATGGTTAGATATGAAAAAGAAATTGACCTCTAAAACCAAGCAGTCCGTCCATATATCTCGTATATATCGCTTTCAGAAAAAGAAACAGATAATTAAATAAACAAAATAAAACTTACCTTATCACCTACTCGAGCCCAGAACTCCGCTCGCTTTCCCCGTGCTGCTTGCACCTCTGTATCCCCAGCAGCCTCAGCGGCGTCTTCCTCTTCCTTTTGCAAAGCAGCCAGTTCTTTCTTATTCTCCTCTACCAGTGTGTCGTACAGCTTCTCGTCCCATGGTAAACTTATCTTCTGCGGCGCTTTTCGGCCCGACAAGAGATTCGACGTGACCAGGACTTTACTGCCTGGAGCAGATGCATGTTGCGTGGTGCCTTCTCCTGGGGAGTTCAAGATACCTTCAATTGGATGGGCCAAATGTCGGTATAGCGGGGCCATTTGATGTTGCGAAATGGCAGATTGGAGCTTTTTCAGCGAAGCCTGTTGGGCGGTATGAGGACATGCTGGGTTGGAGAGATTGAAGATGTCTTGGGCGAGGGAGAGGTTGGGGTATTTGGCGTATTGTAGATCGGAACCCATGGCTGCGGGAGGGGATATAGAACGGGGAAATCGGAGAAAGGGAGTGGGGAGAAGGGGGCGTAGGAGTGGACAAAGAGATCGAGCTGATGGATATGAAAATATGGAAAAATGTGGTTTGTTGGAGATGTTCTGAGTTGGTTTGGTGGAGTTTTGGACGCGGAGAACTGGAAAATGGTTGTTCCCACCCGTTCTGGAATAGTGCTAGCTCAGCTGGTCATTCACCTGACTATGTCTAGGCGAACGACGTCAAGGAACTGATCGTAATATATATATATATAAATTGCGTATCGAGACCCTTTTGCTACCAGCTGCACATTTGTTTAGTTGCTTCATCTACCTCGAGCAATCAGGGAAATATTACGTGCTACCTTATGAAACACAAAATACGCCAGGTTATCAGATATCTGCAGGAATAGGTCTCACAGCGCCCTGATGGTTTGGCAATAGACAGTTCAGCGTTACATTGTCGATTGAGCCGTCTTTCTCAGAAATATTCAGCGCTTTAGGACGTCTGAAAGTTGCAGGTTCTTTAGCTCTCAAGTCCGGATCATCAAATCGACGTCTCCATTCGGCCGGACAGAACCTCTTCCCGCATGGATCCTAAAATGCTCGATGTTCATAACATTGGAGAATTCCTATTCTGTGGTCGGGGAAGACCAGCTGTTCAGGAGGATTGTGGATGTTAGCTCTCTGCATTTTCAGCATACCCAATCCCACTTCCACCGATTGAGCGACCAATCCAACCTCGATGCGGGAGTCGTTGGAAGATTTACAGAGCTTGGCAGAACATTTCTTCTTTTCAGCAAAGGATAGGCAACTGTTACCCTCATTGATTGTATTTCTCAACGCTGGTTAGACTTAAGAGCTGGTGAATCTTTCAATTGGTTGGTTGCTATTGAGCAGAGCGCTTTTCTTGCTCTCCGTAGTGCTTTTGGACATGTTTTGGATTTTGTATAGGACAATCATGTAATTCTCATCTTCCAGGGATCGGAAATTTGCAAAATGTACTATTATCGTCATCATTGGACGAGGATGGCTGACGAAGATAGCGGAGCCAAAACTCTTCGATTTCATCGAGTTGTCGTGCGGCTTCACCAGGGAGACACTGCCATACACTTGCTTGGAGATATCATCGAAACTGGGGCCCTCCTGGCCGCAAGTAATGGACAGCTTGACACCCACACTGTGGCATATGAAGATGAGCACCTATCTTGCTCCTCCTGCGTGCCCCTGTTGCGATAAAGGTAGACGAGCAACTGGTCAGCGAAGTTTGTTGATGTTGCCGACGGAGATGTTGAGGACATGCTAGTTGCAGTCCATGGACAGAATATGCGGGCTCTGGGGGGATGTCGTGGCCCAGGTAATGTTGGAGCCAGTTGGAGTTAGGCGACGAGCTGTGGGTCCATGTTTTTGCCCAGTGGCCGTTTAGGCCATGAACGGCGAAGACGTCGACTGATGCGGCGGTGGCTGGTTCATAGTGGTTGAAGAAGCCTAATTCTCTTTCCAGGTGACTCTGTTCGTCTGCCGTTGCTGTTTCTGGATCTTGAGGGCCGGTAATTTGGGTGACGAGGATTTTCAGAGCTAGCATTTTTGGAGTTTGCTAGACAATCCCATTCCGAACAACCCCTTTTAATTTGTTATGCTATTTAGTTTACGGTGGGACCAACGGAAAATATATTCAATACTAAATGCTCAGTCATTTCCTTTGTATATTGGGTCAGTCCTCCAAGTTGAGCGGGATGCGTTGACTATTTCGAGAACTGTCGACGACGCTGGAGGCTCTCAGGATGAAATGCAACAATGCGTGGCGTACCCCCATTGGGCACTCGTGCAGTGCACCGGAGGTCGGGTCACGCCGAGAATGGGTGTTGGGTGAAGAACCCTGCGGCGTCTAGATGAGCTGCCACTGCGAGATCCCGCATGCTCAAGCAATATGTTCAAGACAGAGACATATCTTCTGTCGTGGCTGCAGACCACGGGCAAGGTCCACTACATCACCTTTCTATTCTACCTTTAATCCCTTCGAATTAGTATATTTACTGCTGGCGATTTGAGGGAGATTAAGCTGATTAAGCAATTTTGAAGATAATTAGTTCGAAAAACAGGTTTGACTCTTTTTAGCCAGACAATATCACATGGTCAAAGAAGCAATTAAATCGGACGGAAGCCATCATGCCCCATTCTTTTGAGGTGGGTATCAATAAACATGCAAAGTGCTAACAGCAGCGGAATGCACTGCCATATCATCAGCATCATCATCTTGCGTCAGGTTCTCCGAGTTCTGTTTTGTTTCTAAAGTGTGGCAGCCAACCGGACACTTCTTCAGCTAGCAGCCCTGAAACATCAGCAGAAGTATCAGAGTTCTGAAAGTTGGGAATAATGGTCCAGCGCATATGGTATGAAATTTATATACCTGAAATGAGTGGGGAAGGTTTGTACTTTGGTAGTAATTACCTGAGATGGCTGATAAAGTGTTAAGACACTCATCTCTGTTATATCTTTGTATAGATATAGACTATAGACTAAAAACACCTTTTCCTTTAACTGCTGATTACAAAACTTCAGACACACACCACAGTCTCTTGCATGCTAATTTCTCTAGCTGCAAGGGTTGTTATGCCGTCCCTTGACCTGGAAAGAAATACGACTACTTCTATTGAAGCACGACTGACTGACCTGGCTCATGGATGAAAGTTCCTCTTCAGGCAATTTTGCAAGGACGGCTCTTGTTCAGAGCCACGAAGGTTGAAGTACAGATCATGGACTGGGTGACATTTGGAGCCAGACCAGGCTACAGCTTAACCCCCGTCAAAAAGCGGGAACCAACGGCTGTTAATTCCTTGGCTGGGACTTGGACACATCTGGCAGCTTCAGAATACATGGTTTTGAATCGCAAGACCAAATATCTGGCCTGACTCCAGCCATCTGAGCAGCTGCCAGCTGAGATTCGACTAGCGGTCAAAAAATATAAGCAAATAGATAAATAAAAAAATAAAAATAAAACGAAAATTGAAAAAGGTTAAAAAAAAAATTAAATAAAAAAGTAAAAAAAGAAAAACTCTCAGCGCAAAAAAAAAATAAAAATAAAAATAAAAATAAAAATAAAAATAAATAAAAAGCTCAACAGAAAGCAGGAGTGGGGTAATAGGGCAATCTAATAATAATCTGGTAATCTCCGTTGCGCTAGAACCTTTTCCGAATTTTCTTCCAAATCCGCCCGCCCATGCCTCAAGACGGGGGCCGAGATTCTATAATTGAGGACCCAAATTCCCATGAAAGTTGGTCCTGGTTTGAAAACAAACCCATGAAAGGTCATAACCCTGGTAAGCAAAAGTGTAATTGTTAAAATGGGGGGGAATTACTCGTTGGCGGTTGGCACGGTCAGACAGCAGAAATGGACGAATCAGCAAATAGCCGTGAATTGCCGTGTTGGGAGGGGATGATCTACTATTTGGATCTGAGATTGATCTAGGTGACGGAATATATTGCACGTCGATTTCCTGAGCGTCCGATGGTTAGGATCTAACGACAACCGCGTTAACGGGATACCTGTTGCTGAAAAAGCAACAAACCAGTAAAACGGATGGGGAGGTGTATGTAACGGAGCACGTGCTTATGCTCTATGCACATATGTCTCTCTGTTAACTATATCTCTGTCTCTGATAGTTATTGTATTCTGTAGGCGGGGTTTAGCAGCGGGAAACTTATCCAAGGCTCCTAGGAGCAGCCCGGTCCATATTTAGTTACTGCAAAGCAATTAGTTATAATAATAATAAGCTAACTAATTAACTGCTTTTCTAGTTTAGTTAACTCTAGTTAACTACTTAGTTACGTGTCTGTGATGATGATGATGTAACCCTGCTCGTCATGGCCTCGGGAAAAGTCGGGACAACCCGGGCCAAATGCAATCATCCCTAGCAAATTCCAGGTGCAGCCCGGCTTGTTCCGGGAATTCCCGCCGGCAGTGGAGCTCTCAGCCTATGACATCGTGCGCATTAGCAGCCTCTTTCCCAGCCAACCACTATGTCTGGGATACCCGCCGCCCAGGACACCGCAACCGACCCCCCGATCATGCCTATTCTCCAGCCTGTTCCAAGCCCTACCTTACGCCTATCCAACCTCGCAAACAACCCCACCAAAACCCCCCCCCCCCCCCCCCCCCCCCCTCTTCCTTCCCCCACTCCCCCTATCTTCAGAGCATGAGGGCTCTATGCTTGTCCAATAGCCTCCACTGTTCCCTGTCTGCTACAACCATAATTCAGACTTCCCGTGCAAAGGCCCCACGAGAACTGCGACAGCGCCGCCTCCAGTTTCGGATTCTTCATCCTCCTGGTTTTCGCCGGGTTCCTTTCGTTCCTTTCGCCTTCCCCTTCGTCCCGTACTTCGCCTGCATGGATTCCGGTTCCGCTTCGGGCGGCCCCTTGCCCACGGTTACTCGTGCCGCCATTCATATACCCTCTCCTTCCCCCCCAACTTCACATAACCTTTCTCATAACCTTTCTCGTAACACTCCTCACTCTCACACGTCTTCTCTCCTCGATTCTTATTCTTCAGACTTCGCCAGACAGCAGGCGGCTAAGCAACTCCACTCCAACTACCACTCATCCTCACTGTCAACCTCCCTCAAAACAATGTTGGCCACTTCTGTGAACCGGACTGCCCTGCATCCTAGTGGCGTCAAGTATGTGTATTCTCAGCTCTTCCGTCATTGCTTGTCTATGATATGAGAATTGCAGGGCCGCTAAACTCTCGGTTTTTCCTGTTTCCAGGCCTGGTGTGGGGCACACTGAGCTCGAAGAAGAACTCCACGAGACTGCGCACATCGACTACGAACGAGTTTCAATTGTAAGTCCGCTTGGTTCATCCACCTCTTTCTCTCTCATATATTATTATCTAATATACTTACTCTATTCCTATGTAACTTATTAACACGATTCAAATAGATTGCGAACCCTGCCGTTGCTTCCCTCTACGAAGATGCCCTCGTCTACGAAACAGGCACCGCCATCACTTCCAGCGGTGCCCTGACTGCCTACTCGGGTGCTAAGACTGGCCGGTCCCCACTCGACAAGAGAATCGTCAAGGAGCCTTCATCGGAGAATGAAATCTGGTGGGGTCCTGTCAACAAACCAATGACTCCAGATGTATGTATTTTCCTTTTCTTCTTCATTTTTATATTCTTTTGATGCAGTGCTACATATTTTTGCATGTTTATATCAAGTTGCGGTCGCTCGCGTGCTCTGTCAACATCGTCAGATTGCAGATGCAGATATCCCTGCATTAAACCCACTTTTTGTTATCTTTTGCTTTTTCTCATGCAAACATAACCATGATCCTTTTTTTTCATTGCTTCTGTTCTTATGTACCCTTCTGGATGTCATTAATTTCCCTGTATTATTTACCACCACTCTTTCTCTTGTTTTACTTCTTCCCTTGGCTGCCTCTTCCCCCGCACCCAATGTTGTCGATCCGGGGAATCAGGTGATGCTATGACGTCAATGATTAGTTTCAGCTTACTAATCCGCCCCTAATTCGCTAGGTATGGAGAATCAACCGAGAACGCGCTGTCGACTATCTCAACACAAGAAATCGAATTTATGTCATTGATGGCTATGCCGGTTGGGATGAGCGTTACAGAATCAGCGTCAGAGTTGTTTGCGCTCGTGCATACCATGCTCTGTTCATGCGCAACATGCTCATCCGCCCGTCCCGCGAGGAGCTCAAGTCTTTCCACCCCGACTACGTGATCTACAACGCTGGTTCATTCCCCGCCAACAGATGGACCGAGGGAATGACCTCGGCTACTTCCGTGGCCATCAACTTCGCCGAAAAGGAAATGGTCATTCTTGGTACTGAGTACGCTGGAGAGATGAAGAAGGGCGTCTTCACTGTGCTGTTCTACGAGATGCCCGTAAAACACGGCGTCCTCACACTCCACTCGTCGGCCAACCAAGGTGCGGACGGTGATGTCACTGTCTTCTTTGGTCTGTCTGGAACTGGCAAGACTACCCTGTCAGCCGATCCAAAGCGCGCTCTCATTGGTGACGACGAGCACTGCTGGACTGACCGTGGTGTCTTCAACATTGAGGGAGGGGTATGCTTTCCCCCCATTCCAACCTTAAAAATGTCTGGGATTTTGTCTAACTTAACAAACCCACAGTGCTATGCCAAGTGCATTGGTTTGTCAGCAGAGAAGGAGCCGGATATTTTCAATGCCATCCGTTTCGGATCCGTCCTCGAGAATGTCGTCTTTGATCCCACTACGAGAATAGTCGACTATGATGATTCCACCCTCACTGAGAACACCCGATGGTATGCCACCTCTCTCTTTCCATAAATAAGACTTAGAAAATGTTTTATTTCCAGCTAACAAATTCCAGCGCCTACCCAATTGAATACATTGAAAACGCTAAGATTCCCTGCCTTGCTGATCAACATCCGAGAAACATCATCCTTCTCACCTGCGATGCTCGTGGTGTCCTCCCACCTATTTCTAAGCTCAACACCGAGCAGACAATGTTCCACTTCATCTCCGGTTACACCTCGAAGATGGCCGGCACAGAAGACGGCGTCACGGAGCCTCAAGCC